TGGACCGTAGCCCACCAGCCTCCTCTGTCCCTGGGATTTCCCAGGCAAGAATACTGGAATGGGTTGCATTTCCTTCTCCAGCGGATCTTCCCAGCCCAGGGATCGAACCTGTGTCTCTTGTGTCTCCTGCATTGTCAGGCGGATTCTTTACCACTGAGCCACCTGGGAAGCCCAAAATTTTTGGTTGCCTCACACAGCTTGTGGGCTTTTAGTTCCCCAACCAGGGATCAAAGAGCTTGGAGTCCTAACCGTTGAATTTGAATTATCACCTTTCCATAAATTATTGTTTCTGTGTGTGCAGAGAGTGTGTCCTGGGGTCTTTAATTTACTGAGCTCACTAGGCAGGATGTGGGTCTCATGCCACCACTGTTTTATTGTTTTGGGGCGCATTGCGTGCTCCTGTCACATGGTTTTGTTGCTAAGCAAACCTTCTTTCTAGCGTGATCGCTGACTCAGGGGTCTTCATACCTTTTCCTTTACTTATGATCCTTTAGTGGGATTAACTATTTAATCACCTACTTTGTCCCTTTACTCTGTCCCTATCAACATGACAAGTAAACATGTGGATCTTCCTTCTGAAGCCTGCATTTTCCCCGATCCCGCTTGGCTTGCCTAGAGCAGACCTCTTGGTTTATGGCTGATGTCCTCTTAAGCCCAAGACAGCTGGGCATTGCAAGCCCTGGACCACTAACCTCTCTCCTCCTTGCCAGAATCTTAATAGCTGAGAGGCTGACTGAGCACTGGACTGGGACTTCAGCAGCCAGGACCCTAGTCCCAGCTTTGCCCCATCTCAAAGTATCCCCTTACAAAGGGGAAATACAGTCCCTGTAAAGCAAGCAGATGGGCCTGCTGACCTCCATCTCCCTTTCAGATATGATGGAGTAGGAATCCACACCAGAGAGCCCAGGGAGCAATGGGAGCTGCACAGTAGCCGCCAGTGGCCCCAGAGCCTGTGCGGGACAGAAAGAACTAAGGCTCTGGGGACACATGCTGTGAACAAAGCCCTGGAGGGAAGGGTCAGGGAGGGCGTGGTGGCTGTAGAAAAGGGAAGATCTAGGAGGACGAGCTATTTGTCATAGTCCTAAGGAAGAGAAAACGGGCTGATCTGGCACAAAGAAGAGTTGAGATTGGACACCAGGGAAAGCTGGTAAAATGCTGCTACCTGGCAAGCGACTGTGTGAGTACAAATCCTTTTTTAAAAATGTATTTATTTAGCTATGTCAGGTCTTAGTTGCGGCATTTCATTGCTTCACGAGGGATGTCCCTTGGCATGTGGGATCTTAGTTCCAAGACCAGGGATCGAACCTGCATTCCCCTCTTTGCAAGGTGGATTCTTAACCACTGGACACCAGGGAAGTCCCACAAGCGTGATTCTTGCAGAGCCTGCTGCCTGGAGGTAGGTCTATGGACACAGTGCTTGGAGGGTTCTTTGAGGACTTTGATGTCATTGGCAAAGAGAGCCCTGGACTTCCCCCTATCACTTGCTGAATGACCCCAGATGGATTCAAGTCCTGTTTGGGGCCTTGCTTTTCCAATTCGGAAAATGTGCTTGTAGAATGGATGGTCTCTGAGGTTGAACTTTCTGGGGCTTCTTTTCTCTAGGGCCTTCACCAGATCCTCCTCCCGGAGAGCCAACATGACACGCGGCCCTTGATCCTTGTGAGCCTGGGAGCTGAGGTGATACGGGTCAGGAAAGAAAAATTTTGTGAACTGCTTGACAGTAATACAATAGAAAAATTGTCAAAGTTCAGTATCAAGTACCCCAGGTCAGTGCTAGAAAAGTGTGTGCATTCCGCCAGATCAAATGAACAATTTTTTACCTCTTATTTTAGTAAAAGAAAAAAAGTGATAATATCTAGTTCTGACAAGGGTAGAATGAAACTGGTAATTGCTGATACCCTCTAAATTGACTCAATCCTTTTGATAATAATTTTAGATAATAATGTTTCAAGGGCCCAAAACTGTTTCTTCCCTTTGAAGCAATGGTCTACCTGTGAATTTATCTCTATATAACTAAATTATAGGGAAAGATACTAAGATGTTTGTAGCTGCCATGCTCATAATAGAAAAACAACCACCCCTATCCACACGTGTCATACCAAGGGGCCAGTTTAGAAAACAGTGGTACATTCCCTTAATAGTAACTTTTTTGAAGAAGCAAAAGTAAAATGAGTGATAAAATGCTACATGAAAAGGACAGGGTACAAAGTTGTATATATACTATGACTAGAGCCTTTGTAGAACACTAACATGAGAAAAATCTAGAAGGAAAATGAGCAAAAATGATAATTCTGCAGTATTGCCCAATTTGTAATGGTCATTCTTTCTGGAAGACAGGACTTAAAGGGACTTTCTGGTTATAGTTATATATTCCTCTGATGTTTGTTTTTGCAGTGAGTATATGTTTCTTTTTTTTACATTTCTTTTATAATAAGGGGAAAAATTATATACTTTTTAAAGTTGTTGTCAGGGTAGTGACATTCCAAGTGGGTTTTCCCCTTTATTCTCAATGTTTGGTAATGATGATATATATATTTTATAATTAAAAAATATTTATCTTAAAAGATTTAATAAAAAGTTTTCTATTTATATTTCCCTAGTTTCCAAATTTTCCATAAAAGTGAATAATTTTATACTGTGAAAAAAACCCCACTATTTTTTACGTAAAAACTAATTTATTGCCTGATCACTGGTCACAGAACTGTTTTGATCTTACACTGTTATTACTAAAGAGTGTTTGAGTGTATAGTCCCTAGAACATATATGTGATATGAGTGACAATATTTATTTTTTATCTATTATATCTATATTATATCTTCTGTGTGTTGTATATCTCCTATACCTTATAAATATGCAAACATAGATCTTTAAAAAGAATAAGACAGAATTCCCTGGTGGTCCAGTAGTTAGAACCTTGTGCTTTCACTGCTGAGGGCACAGGCTTGATCCCTGGTCAGGAAACTAAGATCCTGCAAGCTGCATGATGAGGCTGAAAATTTAAATTAAAAAAAAAAAGCCAAAGATAAATATAGATGAAATCATACTGTTTTCTTCACACAGCCCAGTGGATCTCATTCACCTCCCCAGGTGACATCCCCAGCCCCTCCCGGAACCCCAGCCTAGACTCTCGCAGCCACCCTAGCCTTGGTCCCCCGCCTCCGTCTTCTCCGTGCTGGACCACTTCTGCATACTGTGCTTTCGTGCTGGGCTGTGCTTAGTCTCAGTCACATCCGACTCTTTACGACCCCGTGAACTGTGGCCTTCCAGGCTCCTCTGGCCGTGGGGATTCTCCGGGCAAGAATACTGGAGTGTGCTGGGATCTTCCCAACCCAGGGGTCGAACCCAGGTCTCACGCACTGCAGGCATAGATTCTGTACCATCTGAGCCACCAGGGAAGCCCAGGAACACTGGTGTGGGTAGCCTGTCCCTTCTCCAGGGGATATTCCCGACCCAGGGGAATCAAACCGAGGTGTCCTGCATTACAGGCAGATTCTTTGCCGGCTGAGCTTACCAGGAAGCCTGCACTGTGCTTTTTTTAAAACTCAAATCTGGCCATGTTAAACTCCTGTTTAAAGCCTTTCAGTGGTACCTCACTGCCTATAGGATACAGTGCAGATTCAGTGCCATGTAAACAGCGCTTCATAGTCTGACCCTTCAACTCCCTGTAGCACTCCTGCTGTCTCTAACCCACTCTGGCAATCCAGGCAGATTGCCTCCTAGACCATTGCCTTTGCCAATGTAGGCCCTTCTGCCTGCAATGCCATCCCTCAATCCTGCCTCTGCTTCTCATTCTTTAAGATTCATCTCCTCCAGAAAGCTGGGCTAGGTACCCCTTTCTGTTCACCCATAGTCCTACAGCTCTCACAGTGGCCACACCATGCTGTATTACAACTGTTTAGAGCTTTGTAGTTTGTTTGTTTTTCTTTAATGTGGACCATTATTAAACTCCTTATTGAATTTTTTTACAATGCAAGACATGTAGGCTCTTTCTCCCTGACCAAGGACCGAACCTGCACCCCCTGCATTGGAAGGTGAACTCTTAACCATTGGACTGCTAGGGAAGTCCTTAGAACTGTGTAGTTTTTGCACAGTTCTTTCCCCACCACTTGATTAATTTCCTCCTGAAGACAGGGTTTGGCCTTTATCCACCTCTCACCTCTAGCACCTCTACAGTACTTGGCACGAGATAGGTACTTGATAAACGTTAGTGAATGAATGAGGCCCACTCACTGTGGAAAATGAAAAAGGCTGAACATTTTCAGAAGGTGAAGACCGAAAGTGTTTGCATTACTCCAACAATCCCAATTAGCATTTTATGTATATCCTTTCAGTATTTTTTTTACTACATGGATATGTGCCAAATATGCATTTATCATTCAGTCACACAAACTTTCATAAGAGAAACCATACAGATATGATTTTGCATCCTCCCCGCCTTTTTCTTTTCTTGTGGTGGTGATGTGATCAGACATGGTTTTGTAAGCAGTTGTGGTGATTCCTGTGGTTGAGAAAGAGGTGAAGGCAAGCAGATCTGTAGAGTTACTTCAACCGTATCTAATGAGCACAGGAAAGAATTTGACATGGGATCTGTATGACCTTGGACAAGTCACTTCCCCTCTTCTAGGCATCAGACTCCACTGCAAAATGAAACAATTAGAGTAGAACAGTTTTCCCAAATTATGGAACATCTTCTCAGAAGGCTTACAAGATGATTTTAGGTGGTACACAGATTATGAACAGTTACATATTTATTCAAATATGAGTTAGAAAAATAGGACTAGTTCCCTAAACCCTTGATTAGACAATCTTGTTGCTTTTGAACCAAGCCAAAGTAAGTATTTAAGTAAAAGAAATTTAGTGGAATTAAGAAAAGCATTAATAAAAGAACAGGTGATAATGTAGCTGTGATCCAGATTGGGGGCAGTTTTTACATGTATATGCATGGCTGAGTTCCTTTGCTGTTCACCTGAAACCACCACCACATGGTTAATCAGCTGTACCCCAACACAAAATAAAAAGTTTTAAAAGAAAAAGAAAAATGGGGGCAGTTTTGCAGGAAAAAAAAAAATTGGGAAACACTGATGGTTTCTTGCAGTTCAGCAATGCCCCAGTTCTCTGATTTCTGTGGCCTATCAACGCAGAAAATAGCTATTTAGAGCCACCTCCTCAGAAAAGGATTTAAGGGGGAAAGAAAGGATTTAAGGAGGAGAGAAAGGGTTTAAGGAGCCTTAGCTTCTCACAGAGCGTCTGGTACACGACGGGTGTCAGCCAACATTGGTTGAATTGGAATTCAGAGGAGGTTTGCGTAGACTTGAGGATGGCAGATGCTGGGGCCCTCAGCGTCTGTGCTGCATAGTCAGCACTCTGCTGCAGTCGTCTGCAATGCTGACAGACAGAGTTCTGGCTTATTCGTTAATTGTCAAACTCATGGTTTTCTCGACTGCTAAAGCAGGCAGAAAATATATCCATTATCTAGCTCAAATCCCCCATGTTTTAATTGAGGACTGTGAGGCCCAGGAAAGGGGGATGTGACATGCTGAAGACTGCCCAGTCTGTGGGTGAGACACCTGTCCCATGGATGCTATGGGCTAGATTATCTGAAGCCTGTCCCCCTACAGACACAAGGAGCACATGTAGAATATGAACAGCTGAGTTCTCAGGAAAAAAGGGAACCCTCTCAAGGGCCCAAGTGAAGAACAACCTAAAACCAAAGCACCGCGTGTGATCTAGTGCTGGGTGGCCAGGCGGATGTGGCGTGGGGGTAGTAACTGAGGGCGCCATGGGCTGAAATGTGGCATCCTGCAAGGGCAGGTGACGGTTGCAATTCCAGTGAGGCAGAGGGTGGAACTGGAACCCCTGCATGAAGTGGAGGGCTTTAGAAGAGCTGCCCCTTTTAGTGAAAGACTAGACTAGAATCAACGTGACCATCCGCATCAGGAGGTGATGTAGAATCTTTTTTTTTTTCTCATTTGTAATTTTAATCGAAGCATTGCTATTCATTTTTAAAGTCTTTCCTCATAAGCACCAAATCTGTATCAATTTGGGGGGGAAATAAACTCCATGAAGAACTCCCCTCCAGAAGAAAACAATGATATGCACTCCTCCAAATGACCAAATTCAAAGTCTGCCAAAATGAAAACAAAACAAAACAAGCCCACACAGTAAAACAGAAACAAAAACAAAAATCACATTCTAGGGGTTCAGTGCATTTAGCAGCCTTCACTGTGCTGTCTAATCATCCTAGCTCATCAAAATATACATTTTTTCCATTTGATTTTTAAATTAAAATAATTAAAAAGAGGAAACGTGAAGGAATTCACAATCAATTGCCTGACTTGTTTCGATTTCACGCACAGCATAGAAAGGTCAGGAAGGCTATTTGCAGCACACGTGACTCGGGGACACTGATTTTCAAGGTTTAGCTTTCTTCCAAACAGTGTAAAATACCCACAATTCCAAGTACGAAGGGACACAGACGATCTCCTTCGAGAATTCCACAGGACAATACAGGCGCCCCAGCTGTTCTTCATAGAGTGACAGGGCTTCTGTCAAATTGACACAGTTTCCCTGTGTAAAATATTTCCCATCCTGTTTCAGTACTTTCATTGAGAGGTCAAGAATCAGTCTGAGAAACTCCTAAGTGGAATCTTCTTCTGGAGATGTGGAGATTGGAACAGCTGTCAAATCATTAATCACATAATCAAACTCTCTCCCTTCTTTGGTGTACCTCTTCAGTACTGGAATACAGTCTTCTATTAGAACCTGATAGTCTCCTTTAAGATTGTCTAAGACATCACCACACGTTTTTCGCGTGTATTTCTTACATCCGTCAATCACCATTCGGTCAATCTCTACCATAGTCACCATCTTTGGTTTCAGTTTGACTATTTCACATAATATGCCCCCATCTCCACCTCCCAGAATCAGTACATCTTTGCCACTGTAATCTTCTTTGCCACTGCCCATGATGGCCCGGGTATACGCCAAATCACTTTCCGCCAAATTAACATCCCCACTGAGGATGAGAATATTCCCAAATTGCTTTGAGTGTAAAATTTTAATGTTCTGGTAAGGTGAGTCTTCATCATACACCACTTTATCTATGTCGTACTCAACCAGGCAGCCATCCGCAGTGGGCCAGTATCTGTTGATGGCCCCTCCTCAAACTATGGGTGGTAATCGCTTTACCTGCTCAGTACTGTCCTGACTCAATTCTTTCATTCTTTCTTCTACTTTGTTCAAAAGACTATCGACTTCTTTGCCTTGTGCATCGCCGTCGTAACTCTGAAGATCCAGCAACACCAATCCATGCGGGTAAATTCTCAAATTGGCAAAGCTGCCATTTTTGTTTATGTACGTCGCCAAATAGCCATGGTCCTGCCAGGTATGCACTGACTCCGTCATCCCCTGCTCCTGGAAAATGGACTGGAGGCCTTTCAGAATGGTCTCACCATCAGCTTTGGCGCCGAGCATGAAGTCGAGGGTGCTGTGCCGTGCTGTTGCCATAGTGAGGCGAAGCCCTGGGCCATGCCTTGGGGAGACAGCTGCGAGACTGGGGGGGCCGCGCGGTGTGTCAGGCTGCGGCCGGCGGGGAGTGCGCCGCGCCGGGGAGGCCGACGTGATGTAGAATCTTAACTGTCAACTTTTACTCTGGAACAACATCAAATAGATCTTCTAAGAATTTGTGATCACATGCTTGCCCTCTCTTAAGTTTTGGTGAGTTCCTTAACCTCATCGAGCCTTAGTTTCCACGTTTGTGAAATGAGGTGGTCATGAGGATCTGATGAGTTAACAAGTATAAAGTGCCTGGTGCATGGTGAGTGCGAAGCAGGGTTAGATATTGTTATTTATTATGTAAGAAGTCAGGAGTTAATGGGGCTCTTTAGGTAAAGACTCCCCAGTGGTATGCTGGGGAACATTCAACAAGCAGCTCTTTGGGAGGTGGGAGGTCTCCTGACTGGAAGTGTTGGCCAGTTTCTATTACACATACTCCTCCCATGGCCAATTTTGAGCTACCAACTCAGCATGGAGTTGCTCTCGTGAGCTGGTAGGAGCTGACACTGGCACTGCTGAGACCTAAGGTCTCAGGACTAACTTGTAGCCCATGCTGACCTCTAGATTTTGTATTAAGTTGATCTCTGTGAATCAAAGTTGCTTTTGTCCTCCTGGTCAATGCAATTTTCTGAAAGAATGCTCTAATGTGTTAGTGATTTACCAAGCTTGCCTCCTTAGGTGAGAGTACAGCTGAGGCAGTGAAAGTCAAACAGGCTTTCCCTTGCTGTGGTCTCAGGAGGAAATAAGCCAGTGAGTCCTGAGGCCATCCACCATTGCCCACCTCTTTCCTTACCCTCATGTGCTATGAGGGAGAGGGGCAGAGTAGACTCAGGGCACCAAGACCAGCCAGGGCAGCTACCAGTTGACTTTCTATGTCTAAAGATTTTCCCGATCTGGACATTTCCCATGAGTGGAACCACGTAGTAGTTTGGTAGGAAAACCCGAATGAACTTTTTGGCCAACCCAGCACATGTGACTGGCTTCTTAGCATAGTGTTTTCAAGGTTCATTCATGTTGTAGCCAGTTTTGGTCTGGCCAAAAATTCATTCCGGAATTTTTCCATACAATGTTACAGAGAAACCCAAAATTTTGGCCAACCTAATATCAGTATATCATTCCTTTTTATTGTCAAATAATATTGCAGCACATGGACATATTATACTTTATTTCTCCATTCATCAATCAATGGACATTTGGGTTGTTTCTACTTTTTGGCTATTTTGAATAAGGCTGCTAGGAGCATTCTTGTGCAAGTTTTTATGTGGGCATATGTTTTCATTTCTCTCGGGTATATACCAAGGAGTGGAATTGCTGGGTTGTAAGTTAACTGTTTAACCTTTTGAAGAACTGCTCGGCTATAGTTCCAAGTAGCTGCGTCATTTTCTATTCCTGTCAGCAATGTATTGGAACCCTCATTGCAATATCTCCACTTCTCCATTGACACTAATAATTATTTGTCTCTTTAATTGTCATCATCCCAGTGGGCATAAGTGGTATCTTGTATGGCGTTGGCTTATATTTCCCTGATGGCTAATGATCACAGGTATAATTTAAAATGTTCAATAGCCACATTGTAAGAAATAAAAAGAGAGGGGTGAAATTAATTTTAATAATACATTTTATTGAATGTAGTATATCTAAAATATCATTTTAGCATGTAATCAACATAAAAATGACTGAGATACTCTGCATTCTTTTTTTGGTGTTAAGTCTTTGAAATCTGGTGTGTATTTTATACTCAGAGCACATCTCTAGTTCAGATTAATCACACTTTTCAGGTACTCAGTGGCCACCTGTGGGTCATGGCCACCGCATGGAGTAGTGCAGGTCTAGGGGATGAAAGCGTGGAAAGGTAGAGGAGGCCGATAGAAGGGTCTGGGCAAGGGTGCAGAGGAGGGACAGGGCTCAGGGTGTTTAGGGGCTGGAGGAGTGGCAGGAGGCAGGACTGGAGGGGCAGGGGGACAGGGAGGCTCTGGGGTGGGAGCCCCAACACCTGTTCCTTACCTTCAGTGATGAAGAGCTGTGCCAGAAGTTCCTCAAGGAGAACAACTGGAATATCTTCCGGAAGGACCTGGTGCGGCTGCTGGTAGAGCCTCGCTGGCGTCCCCCGTTCACTCCGATCCAGTCCAAGAAGAAAGGGACCTACAACCCCAGAATTGTGACGCTGGATCTGTATAGCTTAGACAAGAAGACGAAACGTCATCACCCCATCTTTATGGCACCCCAGAAATACCTTCCCCCATTGAGGATTGTCCAAGCCATTATAGCACCCCGGTACAAAATCCAGGAGCTCCTGCCTCAGTATAAGAATGCAGGGGTCCTCATGTAGAATCAATAAAAGATGTTGGGTTGACCACCATGTTTCCTGAATAACCGCCATGTGAGTTGTGGGGCTTACAGTGGGAGGCCCTGGGGGCGACCTATGGGTCTGGAGAGGTTTTAGGGGGTGCTTTCTCCCTTGACACTTGTGGGGCTGAGTAGGGGATGGTCAGGAGGCTGGGTGTGCAGGGGTTAATCACTGGGGGTGGCCTCAGGGTGAGAGGGTCTTATGACATGGATGGGAGGCACAGAGGCAAGACAGGGTTGTGAACTCAAATGTCTTGCAAGCCCAGACAGGTTGTCTGAAGGAGGGTAGGGGACTTCCCTGGTGGTGCTTCCACTGCAGGGGGCCTGGGTTTGATCCCAGGTCAGGGAACTAAGATCCATAGAGCATTCGTTCTATGGCAACCATCTTGCTAAAGCAATTGACTGGAGTCTTGTGACTTGGGCTAAGATCCTTGGTCTGCTCCCTAATGGTGGTTGAGGATTAAAAGAAGTGGTACAAGTGTGGCAGGGTAGAGGATTTTATTCACCAAGACCCCTGGAGCCAACAGGGAAGCTGAGATGGTAGGCTATGCGGTGCGGCTAAGATTAAAGGACAGATAGATACATACAGAAGGCCTGGGGAGGTCACGGGGAATGGTGCGGACTGGTGTGCGCATTCCCCATGCCGGTGGAGCAGCCTCTCAGTAGCTCCAATCAGTTGATGTCATACCAAGAAATAATGTGGATGCAATACGGCTAAGCTTTAGATTTTTTTCAGGAAAACCCAGAAACCCAATGTTTTAGATGATTCCTGTTGTTGTTCAGTCGCTAAGTCATGTTCCATAAGACGCCGTGGACTGCAGCATGCCAGACTCCTCTGTCCTTCACTGTCTCCCAGAGTTTGCTCAAACTCATGTCCACTGAGTTGGTGATGCCATCTAACCATCTCATCCTCTGCCGCCCGCCCCCCACTTCTACTGGTTTTCAAATGTGAGCAGTGAATTTCAAATTGTTCTTGAAATACTGTGTTAGGCAAACAAAACACACACGTAGGCTGTGTTGGGCCCACAGGCTGCCAGTCTGCCAATAGCTCATCGAGCAGCTCTGTCTGACAGGGTGTTGCCGGAGCCTGGAGTGAGGCGTGACCGCGGGGGCAGATACAAGGAGCCCGAGACAGATGGGCAGCATGACAGGAGCTGGCATCCTGGGTGAAGGATGAGGAGTCAGCAGCCTGAGAGGGAGGGCGCAGACCAGAGATAGGGAGGTGCTCGGTGGGACTTAAGGAGGGCTCCTTGGTCCCTCTGGCAGGGCCCGGAAGCTGCCAGTCACTGGTCTGGGCTGGCTTTCCTTGTTGGTAGTGCTGGGCCTAGAACTCAGGGTTCCTGTCTCTCTCCAGCCTTGGTACCACAGACCCAGGACCTAGTCATCTCTCTCCTTCAGGAAACCCCATGGTTTAGCTTTGAGAGCCCTGAGGGGCCTGGAAGAGGCCATGGCAGCACAAGAGCCCAGCCTGGGAGAAGGCAGAAGCCCTCCCCCACCCAGTACCCACCCACCCACCTACACCACCCCTGCAAGGAGCAGACTCTGAGGAACACCCAGACACTGAACTCTGGAGAGCCTGCCTCTGCTTGTCTCACGGGATCCCGGTAAGCTCCTTGAGTCCATCACCTGCAGCCTGGTTCCCCAGTGGCAAAATGAGCATGTTGGACAAGATGGATGGTTTTCACCAGTGAGTGAGAGGTGAGTGGAGTTTGAAAAGCATACTCGATATTATAATTTTGTGTGTTGAATTTAAAAGAAAACTGTTCTTGGGTTACACAGCAAAGAAGGAGGAGTAGGTGAACTTCCCTGTGGTCCAGTGGCTAAGACTCCGTGCTCCCAATGCAAGGGACCTGGGTTCCATCCCTGACCAGGGAGCTAGATCCCACATGCCACAACTAACAGTTTGCATGGCGCAACTAAAGATCCCATGTGCCACAACCAAGACCTGCCGGAGTGTTGCCCTAGTGGTCTTGGATCGAGCGACGAGAATGAAGACAGAACACGAAATCTGGTGCAGTGAGTCAGGGGACCTGCAGCCTTTATTGGACTGAGGTTCAGAGTCCACCCTGAGTCCAACTTTTATTCCTAATTGCAGACTACAAAACTTTCTTTGATCTGTCTTTCCCAGGACACAACATTGACATAGTCCAGATCTTGTTTTTATCCTAGGCTGTTCCCTTCTGGGATAGTCTCAGGAACAATCAGCAAGTTCATAGGCAGTGTTCATACCTAACGCCGACCCTGTGTCCCAGGGTCTATGCTTTCATGATCCCAGTCATACTCCCTTCTGGGTCTGGCCTTGGGGTTTGTAACAAGGCTTTGATTCTAAGAAAAACATGAAAAATAATCACCAATGTGGTTTCTTAATATATGCTGTTTTTCTAAGTGCTATTCCTGTGAAATTTCTCAAGGCTGTGAAAGTACATTATTAGGAATTCCCACTATATCCTCCCCTTCTCAATTTTGGAGAAGTAGATATGCTGTCTGAGCAACGTTTTTCTTCATCAGTTCTCAGATGGTTTCTCTCGTGCATCTGAGGACTAGACACAAAACAGTTAAAAATATACATCCTGATATTATAGTACCAAGTAATACTCCTCCTAAAGTTTTAATTCACATCATGGGGTTAAGTTTATGTAAGCTTTCCTCAACTTCTTTAAATAAATCAGTTTCTGAGAGTAATTGTAAGTGAACACTCTGCATATTAGA